GCAGGCTCTATATACAAATTCTGCTTTTCTACTGCTTATTAGAGATTCTGCTTATTATTAAAAGTATTTTATAGTATATATTATTTTCTATATAATATTTTGCATTTAAATGCGTCTAAAATCATGTCACAACATCCAAAAAAAAAAAGTTAAGTGATTATAGTATTCAATAAGGCTGCATAAAGAGTCTGTTTAATTTCAGAGATTTAAACTGCATTAACAGAGTTTTGCAGACGTTGGCTAATCATTTGAAGTGAAAGTGTTGTTCCTTGACGTTCTGTCAGTGATTCAGATTTTTTTGCTAATATGGTGGTGGACGCTGCCCTGGCTGTGAAGTTTGTTGATGGGAAAGGTGTTGCTCGCTATCCCATCAACTCTGTGAATGTGCTGAAGGCTCACGGACGCAGCCAGAAAGAGAGTTTCCTCGTCAACGGATACGCACTTAACTGCACTGTCGGATCACAAGGTCTGTCCATGCGCATGCTTGTTTTTCACATTGCACAGTGTATGTTCGTATGCGTGTTTGTAACTGTTGTTTGTATTGTTTAGGAATGGTGAAGCGTGTGTCCAATGCCAAGATAGCCTGTCTGGACTTCAGCCTGCAGAAAACCAAGATGAAGCTGGGTGTTCAGGTGCTCATCAGCGATCCGGAGAAACTGGACCAAATCAGACAGAGGTGAGGTCATGTTACACACACAAAGAAATGTCCCATTTACATTGCTGCCACACATCTGTGGTGTGTGTAGTTATACGCGTGGGATAAAGCATTGTCTACCCAGAGCCTCTCTTACACGCAGATGCACGTGTCTGTGTTTTACCTTTGGGCTGTACAACATGTATCTTTATGTATACTACCAAAAGTTTGGGCTCAGTAGGATTTTTTTATTTTTGAGTAGAAGAAATAAATGTTTATTCAGAATGGTTTAAATTAAGTCACAGTAAAGACATTTATAATGTTACAAAAATATTTTATTTTTATAATATTTGCTGTTCATCAACGAATCCTAAAAATATGAAGCAGCACAACTGTTTTCAACATTGATAATAATCAGGAATGTTTCTTGAGCAGCAAATCAGCATATTATACTGATTTTTGAGTAGAAGAAATAAATGTTTATTCAGAATGGTTTAAATTAAGTCACAGTAAAGACATTTATATTATTAATATTTTATTTTTATAATATTTGCTGTTCATCAACGAATCCTAAAAATATGAAGCAGCACAACTGTTTTCAACATTGATAATAATCAGGAATGTTTCTTGAGCAGCAAATCAGCATATTATACTGATTTCTGAAGGATCGCGTGACACTGAAGACTGGAGGAATGATGCTGAAAACTGAAAAAAGTTATTTTAAATTGTAGTGTTTTTGTTTTTTTGGGACCAAAGTTTGACTTACTGAAGCAAAATACAAGTAAACGGAACTAAAATATAAAAAAAACTTTAATTAATTTTATTGCAGCTAGTTGCCAAGGCTAAAACTTCATTTGAACTATAATTTAAACTAACCAAAATTGAAAAGGAAATTAAAAATAAAAACTATAGATACATTGAAAATTACTACTAAACTAATTTGAATAAAAAAAATTAAACCAATAACTAAGTTTTTTTTTCTTTTCCACTGCTTGATTTGATATATCAGACCAAGTTAGTATTTACGCTATGAATGCATTATGCTCACTTGACTTTCTGTATGTGGTTTTAGTAATTTGAGTACAATTTTTTTGGACCCTTTTTATGTCTGTATTTGGCACCGATCTCTTATAAACAACATCTGAGGTGAACCTGTTACACGTGAGCTTCATATGAAGTAATTGGAACCGCTTGTATAATTTATTTTTACCTCCTGACGTTGACATGATCATTTTCAGAAGGGCAGAAGTGTTTTTTTTTTTGTTTTTTTTACACTTAACACTTTATTGCAGCTAGTTGCCAAGGCTAAAACTTCATTTGAACTATAATTTAAACTTTATAGTTCAAATAAAATTTAACCAAAATTGAAAAGGAAATTTAAAATAAAAACTATAGATACATTGAAAATTACTACTAAATTAATTTTAATAAAAAAAATTAAACCAATAACTACATTTTTTTTCTTTTCCACTGCTTGATTTGATATATCAGACCAAGTTAGTATTTACGCTATGAATGCATTATGCTCACTTGACTTTCTGTATGTGGTTTTAGTAATTTGAGTACAATTTTTTTGGACCCTTTTTATGTCTGTATTTGGCACCGATCTCTTATAAACAACATCTGAGGTGAACCTGTTACACGTGAGCTTCATATGAAGTAATTGGAACCGCTTGTATAATTTATTTTTACCTCCTGACGTTGACATGATCATTTTCAGAAGGGCAGAAGTGTTTTTTTTTTTGTTTTTTTTACACTTAACACTTTATTAAGCATATTTTCCTACTTTATTTAAAACGTAATTACCTTATTCGACTTTTTATTTTTGGCTGTTTGTATGCCAACAAGTGTCCTCTCTCTCAATTTTTTCTTTTTGCATTATTAGGAGTTTTGATGTCTTGAGCTGTGACTATAATTGGTCAATCATGTTCATCCGTTCTGATGATCTTTCTGGATTTGTTTCTCAGGGAATCAGACATCACGAAGGAGCGCATTCAGAAGATCCTGGCATCAGGAGCGAATGTGATTCTGACCACAGGAGGCATTGATGACATGTGTCTGAAATACTTTGTGGATGTAGGAGCCATGGCTGTGAGGAGGGTGCTCAAGAGGGACCTCAAGCGCATCGCCAAAGCAACTGGGGGTCAGCTGACTGCACTTGCACTTCAGTCTTAGCTTAGAAGATCTAGACCTTCTGTTCTTGGAAAACAGAGGTCATTTATTCTCTTTGTCTTAGTTTTGATGAACACTGTTTTGATTTTTCCCCCGTAGCCACTGTGTGCTCATCTCTGTCTAACCTGGAGGGAGAGGAGACGTTTGAGGTGGCCATGCTGGGTCAGGCAGAGGAGGTGGTGCAGGACCGAGTGTGCGACGACGAGCTCATCCTCATCAAGAAGTGAGAGCATCTTCCTTTTCCCTCAACAAAACCTGTAGGATCGAATTTATGCCTGATATTACCTACATTCTGAGGATCAGCGATTAGGATGTCTGCACATCACATCCTCCAAAGATTTAGCCTCATCACACGGCCTGTATAATGAAACTGGCTCATTAAATCAGCTCTGGTTCCTTTTAATCACTACCTCGTACTTCGATTGAAAGCTCCAGAGCTCATACGCACCCAAAATCCTGCATTTTTCTGAATAATATGTATGTCTCGTGTTAAAGAGGAGACATTAAACACATTATCTACTGTGTTTTCTGGGAAGTAAGTTGCACATGGTCAAAATTGCATTGGTGAGTGAAAAACAAATATTTGTTTAAAGTGTTTTATTACATTTAGAAACGTAAAATGCGCTAAGAATCATGAAATATGCTAGAATCATGTATTTTGATTCCCCTTGCTCCACAAAAATCCTTCAAATTGATTTGTATTCAGAAGAAAAAAAAAGAGAATGAAAAACGAATTAATATTAACACTTAAAACATCAAGCCTAAACAAATGTAACCGGTGTGTGGGGAAATGTGCTGTACAAATAAACTTGATTACCTTGCCTAAGAAGTACAAACCGTGTTAAACACGAGGAGAGATAAAAAATTTCTGTATGATTTGAACTGATTTAATCTAATTTGCCAACAACTGATAAAAATGATTTTTTTTTTTTAAACGACTTGCATTCGAAAAAAACTGCTGCTATTGCTGTGAACTGCATGGGACCTTGAGCAGTGTTTTCCATTGGAAACACATTTGAAAATCACGTTTTAGTATTTTTTTTTAATGCCGTTTTCTCTGTCTCTCAGCACGAAGGCACGCACATCTGCCTCTCTCGTCTTGCGTGGGGCGAATGATTTCATGTGTGATGAAATGGAGCGCTCTCTGCATGATGCCCTGTGTGTGGTGAAGAGGGTGCTGGAGTCCAAGTCTGTGGTACCAGGAGGTGGCGCTGTAGAGGCTGCGCTGTCCATTTATCTGGAGAACTATGCTACAAGCATGGTGAGGACCCTGTTTCACAGCTGCTGGGATCTTTTTCTTGATGTCTTGTTTGTATGACAGTTAAATTATAGCTGATGTATAAATGCACAAATTAGTGAAGATAGATAGGCTTTTATTGTAATGTTAGTGTTAAGACCAGTTTTATATATATTTCTGCATTGTTTGTAATTGGATGTATGCACACTCCCATTATAATTGCTGCCGTGCCTGTTTGATGGCTTGTGCAGTTATACGCGTGGGAGACAGTGAGAGTCCTGAGTGGGGAAAGGGACAGATAAACAGCTCTGCTGACAGCTGCTTCCATCCTGCTCGGAACAAACATGCCTCATTTATCATTGAGACGCATTAACCCTCACTAGGCCTGCAGTGTGAACTGTTACAGACAATTCAGATAGCAGTTCATGATTATAGGTTTGTAGTGATTTACCTTAGCTTTCTACTTCTGAGGTCCATGAATCTAGACATCAGCGTGATTTCAGCTGTAGCCTATTTTTTTTAAGAGGGAAACATGAGTTATACAGTCCTAAAAAGTTCCAATTAGGATGGCCTGTGTTGCCACAGAAACAGGAATTGTAGCAGAGTCGGTTTGAATATTTCTGTAACTTGAAATCATTTCATGCCTATAACGTAATAGGCCCGTCAAAATAGCTGAAAAACTAAATTCGAATTTTGTACTTAAATATTATCAATATTTGAGTTATATTTGAATTTAAAAGGCATGATTTCAGTTGGGGGGGGGTGGTAAAAAGCTTTTGGCTTCTCTCCTGAGGCCACAAGAGGGCGTATCGAACAAAATATTACTAATGCACGTTTCTTCAAAGCAATAAAATAACATGACTATCTTTGAAAAAGTGCATAATGTTTAAATTAATGTTTGTAAACCATATATAATTAAGTTGCTTAATTAGAAATAAAAACAGCATCATGTATGTATGAATAGTTTAATACCAAGGACAGAAAACCAATCACAAGTACTTTTTCATTTAAAAACTTGAGATGCCGTAGGATGGGAAAAACCGGCATAAAGTCTGGAGACATGTTTTTTAAAAGTTGCATTAATTTTACATGGCATTCTAAACATGCTCTTGTGTGAGACGCGTGTGCAACGGTGATAGATGTCCCTCTAGAAAATGTGATATGTGTTCTGTGTGAACGGCTTGGTTTCAGTTTTGATGTGAACAACAACAACTCCGCATTGAGGTTCTCTTTTTTCGCAAAATTTTGAATGAATATCACCGCAGCGCCACATCCCGTGGGTTCAACTATAGGCTGGGATACGTGGGATAGGCTATGAAAAACATTTACATCGTCATCGCATCTCGCGCACCACTGATAAGGCTGCCTGACACACACCTAAAATTCGAATGAAACGTTTTGGTATTCGAATGTGGATTTTGTTTAAATTCGACGAATATTCAGAATTACATTTTTTATTTTTATTTTTTTTTACAGCCCTATAACGTAACACATTTTATATTGTATTTTACAAAGTTTTGTGTTTTTTAGATCTGCTTAGTTTGGTTCTTAGCTCTTACTGAATTTCATACTGAGAAAATGAATAGGGAATAAATGGAAAAATGTTCTTTAATATACAGCAGTTGTGCTTTTTAATTTGTGTATGAATGAACTATTAAAATGGTTCTGTGTTTGACCTAGGGTTCCCGTGAGCAGCTGGCTATTGCAGAGTTTGCTCGCTCTCTGCTCGTCATTCCTAAAACTCTGGCAGTCAACGCCGCACAAGACTCCACTGACCTGGTGGCCAAACTCAGAGCCTTCCACAATGAGGCTCAGGTCAACCCTGAACGCAAGAACCTCAAATGGTTAGTGTTGCTCTCTTCTCATCACACAGGGAAGCTGTTCAGCTCTTAGAAATATGACTGCACTGACAGACCGCAGACAAACATACAATCAGGAGTAAAAGCTCTGGTGTTTAAGAAGTAAGGTTTTGATTTACTTCCCTAAAATGTCCTTAGAATTGATTTGGTAGATGAATGGGATTTGTGCAGACAATCTGGAAGCAATGTGGCCTATTATGGATTAAGCTGAGAGCCAATGCAGTTTTGATTACTCGGTTTAAACCTGTTTTTGTGTGCGTGCTGTTAGGATCGGGTTGGACCTGGTGAATGGAAAGCCAAGAGACAACAAGCAGGCGGGAGTGTATGAACCCACGATGGTTAAAACCAAGAGTCTGAAGTTCGCCACAGAGGCAGCCATCACCATCCTTCGAATCGATGACCTTATCAAGCTCTTCCCTGACCAGAAAGAGGGCGGGCCCTCCTACCAGGATGCTGTCCAATCAGGATCTCTGGAGGGATAAAGTCCAGCTGCATCAAATCTTTCATTGGCCGGTTCTGGTGTCGCTCCGCTCCGCTCAGCTTTTGTATTTATTTTTGGATCCATCGGATGAGCTGTTAGTGTAGAATGTGCACTTTGATAGCGTTACTTATGTTTTGCTATTAGAATGACTGTTGGTCATGTGTAATGTAACAAATGTTCCTTTTTCTGTCATTTCAAAGACAATAAACCAGAATGGTGTAGAAATCTTGTTTCTGGTGTTTTGTGAAAGAAACTATATAAAAAAAAAAACTTGGTATTATACAAAGAGTTGAACTCCTATATGTACTAAAAAATTTAAGTACTTTTGTAATTTTATATTTTAACTCCATTGACTTTTCTAGGCAAATGCATTCAATATTAAATAAATACAAATGTTGTTAGACCCAGCAATCACCCCTTGAATGTCTAAGCTACTACATAGTGATTTATACTGCCAGGCTTCAAAAAGCGTAATAGTCCATATCGCTTGTGCACCTTGTTCTTATTGTAAGCAAATAATCCTCCCATTTCTTTTCAGAGGTAGTATGAATCACCATGTACTTTTCTTGTATGGAAAGCGGGCTCTTCATGCAGCTGGTGATATTTTTCATATTTGGGTGAACTCCTCAAGAACTTAAACAAAAATACTGAATGTCAAGCTGTTTTGTTTTTCAGTAGTTAACTACTTGGCCTCAGCTGGTGACATTTGGCTTTTTAACACAAACATGGCCTGAACATGACATTACAAAAAGGCTACAGTCTGAAATTTTGGCAATGAAAACAAAAATAAATATACAGCATCCAAATTCATCGTTAAAACTGCATTTTCTGTACAGCTGCTGTGGATTTTCAGTTGGGTCACAAACATGAGCAGTTTGCGTCTAGACCGTCCCAGCAGTCTTGAGGACTCATTGACCTTCTTTAGGCCAGCTTACACGACTCCTCTGTTCTGCCAGCAGTTACTGCGTGCATCCCAGTGTTGAGCGCGTGAAGGCGGATCGCCTGAAGAACGACACAGCTCTCTGTGGCAAGCACACCCACGCCGTGTAAACGAGGCTACATGCATGGGTTAAAGCGGTTACATCCCGAGCTGAGATAGTATTACCAGAGTACGTTTATTTCTTTGAAATAGGCTACATATCATTATTACTACAGTTCATGGTATGAATTCATAAAGCGTGTGTTATTTTGTTAAGGCTATATTGTTACCCTGACAATGTTAGGCTATTTCTGCATCTAGCTATGTGTGAAATATGGACACTTGTGAACTTTTTTTTTAAAAATGCACTCACAGAACATACTTTTTACACTCTCTCCATACTGTTAACATGTCTAGCAGTTGATATGCATCATGCATTGTCATGTTTTTCTGAAATTAATGAGCATTTCCAGCACATCTCAAATGATGTATTGTTTAAAAAATATATATATATATATATATTGAAGATGAAGATGACTGCCTTTTTTTTTTTTTTTTGGTTGGTTGGTTGGTTGAAAGCTGAAAAATTATGGCATTCTAAAGATTTTAAGACAATTTTATTTGCCAAAATTACAACTTGATTGAAAATGACACTCTGAGAAGAAATCCTTTATATATCCTTATATACTGTATATATATTGTTTCAACCCAACTTTGGGTCAAATATGGACTAACCCAACTGTTGGGTTAAATTTTTACATTAGATTTTTAACCCAAAAGTTGGGTTAGTCCATATTTGACCCAAAGTTGGGTTGAAACAGCCCAGCATTTTTTAGAGTGTGTCTATATATATTGCAATGGTGTCCAGTTGTTGTCCTGACCACTAAATTCAGCCTTGTGAGGGCCAGGGACTGACCACTACCTGTTTTTATGTGTGGACTGTAGAGGTATGCATCTATTTGGCACTTCTGTCCACTTCTACTGCTTGCAAATTATCCACTGTATTGCCATCTCATCTTTGAGCAAACCATTTATTCAACTACGATTTGTTCGCTGAAGCTTAGATAGACACAATCATACAACCCATATAGCAATTACAAACATACTTTCCCCCTTACACATTACACCCATATACGCTCATAAATCTGACTGTATTTAGACAAAATAGCATATATGATTTTATCGCACAAGCTGTGGTAAACTGCTGATAATAAATCATCTGAAACTAAATGTAATTATGAGGCTTCAACTCATAATCAACACACCCATAAACGTACAGAATAACTCTCTCTGACCATCATCTATTTCTGTGCTGATCGGAATCTCTTTGAGGAAAGCCACAGTATATTTTCTATTTTCCTTACTAAATTGAATCGACAACACATGTTTAAGTTTAGCTTAGTTATTTGGGAAACCAGATCATAAAATATCATTAATGTAATTAGCAGATCTTTAAATGCTCTCCAATGCAGAAGACGCCAGTTGTTCTGTTTAATAAGATTGTGGGCAGGTTGTTTTTCAGCCAGAATGAAAAATGTAATCACTAATAGATTCAAGTCATCTGAAAGGACAGCATTGGTGGAGAAGCCCTCAGGATCAAACCTGCTAAGACAAAGCAAAAGATCGGTCTGGCCATGTTTACATGTTCATATGTATTTTGGGGATTTGCATATGGAGGGCGTAAGGAGTTTGCTCTTTCATCTGAATGTGAATATGATGCGTTGGATGAAAGTTAACAGTTTTATCTTGCAGGTTAATCCATGGCTAGGAGATGTGCAAAGAACTGGAGAAGTGATGGATGAACAGGAGTACCGAAGAGGTCAGACCAAAAGCTGTGGTCATGGCAGGGTTTAAATGGAGGCACGCAGCCAAAAGCTGAAAAATGCAACCCCTGCAGGCAGCCTATGGAGGCAGGAAGGTAACAGGGTATATCTGAATCCAATGACTGTGACATCCTCTCTACGCAGGCTACGTTCACACTGCAGGCAAATGTGGCCCAAATCAGATTTTTTTTTTACTCACATGTGACTCAGATCTGTTTTTCTCATGATAGTCAGTACGTTTACATGGACAACAATATTCCAATTTTAACACGATTAAGACAATGCTCTGATTAAGAATCTACCATGTAAACAGAGATTTCTGATTACCTTAATCTGGCCGAATTCATACTCGAAGTAAACACAAATCGAATTAAGACGTATTGTAATCAGAGTATTGTATTAATCGTTAAAATTGGAATGTTGTTGTCCATGTAAACATACTCAGTGTGAGGAGCACAAACCACATGGAATCTGATTTTTTTCAATTCCATTTTGTGCCACTTCCATATGTGGTACTAAATCTGTTACAGGTGCGATGTTTTGCAATGCAACCGCAGTCTGAACAGTCATATCGGAATTCGCAAGACTTGGCAAGTCCTCTGTTTTCCCGCAGAACTGGACTAAATTTTTCACTGTTGCCGCAGACCACACTAACGCAATATTTACCCCCCCCCCCCCGGAATGTGATTGGCCTAGTTTTAGACTAGTTTTGAGAAGCAATTGGGCGGATTTTGATTGTGAAAACCTGGCAACCCTGTTCGTATTGTTCTTTTGCGTATGCGGTTCAGTTCAGAACCATTATCTTTTCACACTAGAAATCTGATACTGGCCACATTTAAAGGGGTCATATGATGCAATTTCAATTGGTTCTTTCTCTTTGGAGTGTTACAAGCTCTTGGTGCATAAAGAAGATCTGTAAAGAGATATTCTTTATAAAAGTTAAGAGTCAACCACACCTACCTAAAACGCCTCGTTTTAACACGCCCCCACATATCTACGTCACGATGTGGGAAGATTTGCATAACGCCGCCCAAATGTTCACGCAAAGAAAGAAGGCATAACGTTTATTCTCACTGTAGTATTGTTGCTGCAGCCATGTCGTGAAGACGCTGTGTGCTTCGTTGTGAAAGCGAAACTACTTTGTTTGGTCTTCCAAAAGAGGACGATATCCGCTTCGTCATGCCTGGAGCTGATCCGTGCTGGTCGCTGAGGAAATACATCAACTTAGTGCTGTGGATCGCCGGATCGGCTTTCACCGTGGACGAAGCGGAGTCCAGCCCGGGGTCGTCACGTGGTTGCCGCAAGCCCGCCGGACGCTCCTACGTCGAATCCGCCGGCCGCGCCATTCTCAAACCCCGCTTTTTACAAAGCTCCGCTCACTCTAGCCCGCCGTGTGTGACGCTGTGTGTTTCGTTGTGAAAGCGAAACTACTTTGTTTGGTCTTCCAAAAGAGGACACGATTACAAATCAGGGGTTAAGTTGTATTTACAACACTGTTCCAGAACAGTTCAACCCAAATATTCAGATGTGTGCAGCACATTTTATGGAGGACTGTTTACTGATCCTGGGAGAGTAACGTTAGACTAAAATGCCGGCAGTTCTGACTCAGACTGTAAGTACCTTTTAATTTAAAGGATTTGCCACTGATGATTCAAATGCGAGTTTTGAGCAGTGTAGAGTAGCACTTGTTGTTTGTCATTTCTCCGATCACAAATGCAGACATGGTTTTATGTTTACACGGCACAATGCAACTCAACGCATAAAAAGACAGTTTAAGTCATTATAATCAGTAATTATGTCCCCACTGGATGCAACAAATGCCTCGTTTATAATGGGTTTTAATGTTTTTGT